AAAGAATAGATACAATTCAGCGACAACATAGCCAACACAGTTTTGAATTGAAAACGAAGTATGTGTCTATTTCTCTTTACCCTTTCTGGATTACTGGCTTTTGCTATCTTGAAATATTGAAGTATTACCATCACTTGTGTAAATTTTGGTACAATAATAAAAAGTCATCATCATCATGGGTTGCTGTGAGTTTTTTGGGCTGTATGGCTATGTTCCAGCAGCCATCTCTCCTAATGTTACGCCTGCATCTGTGGCTGGCATCTGTTGCTGTGCAGGAGTCTCCTGTATACTGTGCAGCTGTGGACAAGTCTACATAGGGACCACCAAATGCAGCAGACAGACACAAATCAAAGAACACGAAAGACAATGCAGACTAATTCAACCAGAGAAATCAGCCATAGCAGAGCACATGATAAACCAACCTGAACACAATTTTTTGAGAACACAAAGCAAGTGTCTCTGGATATCTTAGAAATCTATTTCTTGATTTAAATCGTTGGCGTGCTGGCTGATATTCGAACAGGGGATGGACTAGAGATGTCACTGCCTTGGTTCTTTCATTATTGGCTGCTACTTCTCGATGGATGTCAGGTGATGAACATACCAGCTATACAGTATAATTTATCCAGTGGTGTAGGGCGTAGACATCCTGTGAGAATACAGCATGTTTCATTAAGAGCCACTTCCACTATTTTAATGTGGTACAATGTATTCCACACTGGGCATACATATTCAGCAGCAGAGTAGCAAAGCGCAGATGTCTTCACTGTATCTGGTTGTGATCCCCATGTTGTGCCAGTCAGCTTTCATATGATAATATTTTCTAGCACCCACTTTTTGCGTGATATTCAAACAGTACTTATAAGTCAGAGCATGGTCCAGGGTGACTCCCAGGTATTTTGGTGTGCTGCAATACTCACGTGGAATTCCTTCCCAGGTAATCCTCTGAGCTCAAGATGCTTGTCTGTTCTTAAGATAAAAAGCACAAGTCTGTGTTTTAGGTGGATTAGTAATCAGCTGGTTTTCCTGTAATAGGCAGTAAGAGCACCTAAAGCTTTGGAGAGCTTCTGTTCAACCATTTCAAAGTTCCCTGTTTGAGCAGTGATGGCACGATCGTCAGTGTAGCTGAAACTCTGTCTCTTCTGGCAGTGGCTGGTCATTTGTGTAGATGTTAAACATTGATCGAGCAAGCACGCTACCCTGAGGCAGGCAGTTCTTCTGTTTTTGCCATCTGCTTCTCTAGCCCTAGAACTCAACAAAAAAGCTCCTGTGTTGTAGCAGATTTCCTATGAAGTGGGTGAGGTGTTAGTTATTTGTGATATTATTTTTTTCCTCAAGAGAAGGTGATGATTTATAGTATCATATGCTGTTGACAGGTCTATGAAGATGGCTCCTGTAATCTGTTGCCTTTCAAAACATCTTCTATGTGTTGAGTCAGGTACAGCACTTGTGATGTGCAGCTTTAGCTTTTGCCTTTTCTAAAACCAGGTTGCTGTGGAATCATACAGGGGCCTATTTTTTCCATAATTCTATGCAAAATAAGTCTCTTCAGAACTTTGTAGAGATGGCACAACAATTGGTCTTATAGTTTTTTTTATCATTGCAGTCTTTGTCTGGTTTCCAAATGGATATGACTCTTGCTTTCCCCCAGATTTTAGGGATCTGACAGGATGCAATGCAATTTTCCATCAGCTTTAGCAGCTAACACCTTGCTTTTGGGTCAAAGTTCTTAATTTGTTCCATCCATAGATCATCCATGCCAGTTGCTTTGCTATTTTTACATTTATTGAGAGCTGTTTTCAATTCAGTAGATGTAAAAGGTTCATGGAGGTTGTTGTTCTCATTATCTGGTTGTCTGACTATTGGTTTCCTTCCAGTTAAGAGCCAGTTAACACCTTCCAAACAGAGAATGTCTCCAGGCAACAAACACCAGGCTACTTCTATGTAGAGACCCTCACTGGTTGCCTTTGCAAACTTCATGGCTACTCAAATGCTAATTCAAGCTTCACACTTGCTTTAAATGCACAATGGTTCTTTCCCCACACTGGACATTTCACACACACACACACACACACATATATATATATACATACACATACACACACAGAAACATACACACATACATTTATACATATACATAGTACACACACACACCACTTGCTTCACTGCCAACAGAACCTCTGAAGATGCCAGCCACAAATTCAGGTGAAATGTTGGAAGATAATGCTGCTGGAACTCATAACAACCAAGTGATTCCAGCCATGAAAGCCTTCAACAATACATCATCATAAACATGTTTGTGTAAACTCTGGGAAGATACACAGATAAGTTAACCAATTGCCTAACGTGTATGGAGAATACCAAAGACAACTTCTTAATTACACAGTTTCTCTCTTACAACAATAAACACTTTAAGGCAGAATGACTGGGGCCTGCAGATATTTTGCATTAAAGTCTGTAAAACCTCATTTTAGTTGCAGTGAAGCCTTTGTGTGTTTGTTCAAGAACCCCATTTTACTACTTCAGGAAGATTTAAATCATTATGTAACTTGGCTTGATTAAACTTACCTCAAGTAGTTCTTAATAACCATGCAGGATCTATGATTTTAAACCTGCATGATTTTAAACAAATGTTTTAGTAATTTAATGCCTTAATGAATTGTTTTAATTGCTGTTATTATTTATTACTGTTGTTGGCATTGAATGAATGCCTGTTATGAAGCTGCACTGAGTCACCCTCCTGGGGTGAGAAGGACAAAATACAAATATGAAAAATAAAAAAATAAAATAAAATCTATGCTCTAAATTCAGTAAAATTCATATTTCAGTGAATTAAGGTGTTTCAAGTTTACTAAGGGAAAGGGATTCAGTTTCCACCTGCAAAAGGGGAAAGTGTAAATTTTCACCAATTCCCCATCTTCTAAGCCCTATTTCCCTAAGGATCCACAACCTCCCAGAGCAGATTTTTGGAAGAAGATAACCAGTTATGGTTGTGGTGGTGGTGAAATTGAGAGAAGCACTTCTACTAACGACTTTAGATCCCAAGCTGGCTCATACAGGGAGAGCTGATCTGCCAAATAGCCTGGACTTAATTTCTATCCATTGTTCTGTTGCTATGTACCTCAATTATCTTTGCTCATTGATATGGATGAATGGCACCATGCAAAATAAATAAAATGTAACATAATATAATATACCACCCTAATGGATGCTTTTCAGTCTCTTCTTGGCTGTTCTTTCAATCATTCTTTCCTGAACTTGAGTAATGGAATTGCAATAGTTGGTACTCACAAAGTCAATTGTGTTATTTGAATTAACTAAATGTATTGCATGAGAATACAGCGGAGTAATTTACAACTGCAGCTTCTCTATTATATGTAAACAAGTAATGTTTCAGCAAAAGTTAATTTGTGCCCAGGTTTTTAAGATATATAGTTTAAAAGTACCAAATGGTATAAAATAACTAGGTCATTGTTGGACTTGTGGAGTTTGCTCAGTTTATCCTTTTTTCTGCCAGGGGAGATTTATGATAGATGGACTTAGGGTCTAGTTAAGGTAAAGATGTAAAAATTATGAACATTCGAAGAAATGGGGATGGATACTATCTTTCCTTAAGAACATGGTATGTGTTATGTGCATCTTAGTACTCATATATAATTGTGTGCATATTTACGAAAGCTAAAAGTATACATTCTCTTTAACAATCCAAACATTATTGATATGTACCACATGGTAGTAATTGAGATGAAAACTGGTGTGCTGCAAGGACCTAAATCAAATTGCTATTTCAAACCAGAGTAGATCTGTTGAATCAACAGGATTTAAGTAAGTGCTAGCTGGCCTTCAAAAGTGGGTTCAGAGTGTTCAGTTAGGTTTAGTCTAGCACAGGGGTGTCAGATTCATTTTCATGGAGGGCCACATCAACTTTAAAGGGCCATTGAGTCTATGGAGAATCAGTGGATACAGAGGGCTAACTAATAATCTTTTTTTTGTACCTCACCGCCATCTCTCCAGAGGGACTCAGGGTGGCTTACAGAAGCACTCCAAGTGCCACATGAAGGCAACAATACATAAATATAAATAGAATGACATAATCAACCGTGCATAAAAATCTCATTAATACAACTATAAAAAATTGAAAATTATAAAATTCCTAAAATGCAGTGGAACCTCCTGACCGGCTATCTGTCATAACAATCAATCAAAGTGCGGGCGAGTACTATCAACGAACTATAATGATTTTTTTTACATAATGGTCAGTGCTCTTTAGTTCTTATTCAATCTCAGTCCCCAGGTATTGTTAAATTACAAATCCCATCATTTTTTATTATCCCTCATGTGGACTAGGGATAATAGAAATTGACACCTATCAGCACTTGTAGCTCTGAGATTGGGAAATGGCTAAAGGACATTCTAAAGTCAGATATCATATTCACAAGCTTTATATATAAATCCAAACCTCACTTCCCCCGACTGAACAGAACAATCTGCAGCCTTTCAGATGTCTCTGTATCACAACTCCCATCAGCTGTATTTATGATGTCTAATGATAAAGAATACAAGAGTTGTATTCCAGAATCTCAAGGGCCACATAAAATGGCATGATGAGCTAGATTTGGCCCACGGGCCTTGGATTTGACACATATGGTCTAGCAGTTGGCTTCAGGCATACTCTTGAGCCTTCTCCCAGAGGGTGCCTGTGGACCAAATCCAGCCCACTGTGCTTTGGATTTGACACATATGGTCTAGCAGTTGGGTTTAGGCACACTCATGAGCCTTTTCCCAGAGGGTACCAGAGAGGTTAGTGGAAACAGTAGAGATAATGGCTTGTTTTGCATCCTGTAACATATAACAGGTCTTTCAAAATAAAAATGTTGAATTAATTTTTTTACAGATTTTAATACAAAATGATATGTGAATTATGAACAATATGAGGAGACTTATGAGATGTTCTAGTTAAACGAAGTAGATAATTTCTGTTTCTCTTTTTCTCTATTCAGTACTGATGGCTACTGTTTTGCCATGGTAGAAGATGATGACTCTGGAGGGCAGACTTTCACCACAGGCTGTATAGGATTGGAAGGCTCTGATTTCCAGTGCCGGGTAAGAATATGTTCTGTAATAGATATGATCTTTCTATTGTTTTATCTGTGACTTAACCTATATAGAGTTTTATATTATGGGTGAACATAATAGTGATACATTGTTCTACCTTACACTTACAGGGAACCTCTGTCATAAAAAAAGACTAGTATGTAGGCCAGACTCTTGATTATTATATTGTCCGATAGTCTATTCAGTTAGATTACTATGTTTGAGAAATGACATATATCTTACAGAAAATACTGGATTGGACTGTAAGATCAGCAAGAGATAGTCCAGCATTGATCATTTGGTTCCTTGAATCCATGCTGGGAGAAAAGTGGGAATGTTACATACACAAATGCATATATACATACATTCTGAAGTATACATACATTCTGATAATATTATTTGCTTTTTCAAAATATTTAAGCTTTAGTGGAATACATATTCATAACTCTCCTTATTTCAGGACACTCCACTGTCCCAACCAAGACGATTGATCGCCTGCTGCACAGATCAAAATTTCTGTAACAAAGATCTTCACCCTACTCTGCCACCGCTGGAAGGTCGAGGTAACAGAGGATTCAAATATTAGCTTCCAGTCTGCATATTGTTGTTCTTTTTTAAAAAAATGGAGCTTGTAAGGAAGAGTTCTTTGGCTATGGTGATGACATTTAATGTAAGCACTCTGCACACACCTCTTGTTCATTCGGCCAAAATGCTTCTAGGAAGGTTTTCTGAAGAGAAACAGCTTGGTGCTACTAAGCCAAGTAAAAGAATATGTATTATATATTCTGAAAAACAGAAATACTTGCATTAATTGTTACCCAGTTTATAGAGGCCTGAATGTGTGTGTTTTTTTTAAAGAACTGAGATACTTACATTCATTAAGAGCCTGAATGTGAGATTTCCTGAATTTTATTTTTTTGTTTGTGGCAAAAGCAATTTTTTTAAGGTAGGCCTGTCCCTATGAAACAATTAGAGCATAGATCCAGTTGATAGCCCCGACAGGTTTCACCCATTGAATCAGTGGAATATCCATTATGTTTACCCACTAGATTGGCTCTATTTGGGACTAGCAATTGGAGTTAGGTTTTAGTGCAAAGGTTCATTGAAAAAAAATGCCCTCTTTGGTACCATTCATTACTGGTACCATGCTTGTGTCATTCTGTCCACTTCTATATGTGTAATTTCTGTTTTAGCTATATGTATAGTCTTGTATAGGAGCTTCTGGTGGTGCAGTGGATTAAACTGTTGAGCTGCTGAACTTACTGACCAGAAGGTCAGTGGTTCAAATCTGGGGATCAGGGTGAGTTGTTAGCCTCAGCTTCTACCAATGTAACAGTTTGAAAACATACAAATGTGAGTAGCTCCATAGGTACCGCTTAGACGAGAAGGTAACAGCGCTTGAAGCAGTCATGCTGGCCACATGACCTTGGAGGTGTCTACGGACAACACCGGCTCTTCGGCTTAGAAATGGAGATGAGCACCACCTCCCAGAGTCAGACACAGCTAGACTTAATGTCAAGGGGAAAGCATTACTTTACTTATAGTCTTGCTCAATCAGGATACTTGTAAATGACCAAATAGCACAGTCCTTCATAGTTTTGTTGTATCATAACCTATCAAGACCCAGTAACAAATGGACAATTTCCAAAGGAATTCTGGAAACCCCTTCCCCAAAAAGGTTTGGGTGAATGAGGGAATGTTATCAGCACAACAGATGCTACCATGAATAGTTTATGCTATTCATTAGCATATTAACACCAGTCATTGACCCAGAATGTCTAACTGACAGTCCTGGAAACAGAAACATAAAGTTACAATTTTATTTTCACCCCCCTCTTTATTCAGCAAAATTATTTTTCTAAAGACAATTTCCTCGCACAACTGTCTTGGGCTTGTGAGAAATAGGGGGGAAAATCTATATCTGATGCAGGAGCTTTTTGACCCTAGGTCAGAAAGGAGGGGGTGGGAAAGGAGCTTGGGTCTAAGGGGATTCTCTAGCTATAGGTCAGAGGTGGGTGAACTACAAATTAACCCAAACACAGAGGTGATGTCAAGAAAAGTAGAGACACACTCTTTTTCTGAAAGATCTTTTCCATGCCTGGAACTTGCTATGGGTCATTTTATGAAGATGAGAATGAAATGAGTTGTGTACATGTGGATATATCAGAATGACGCAAGATAACTAACTAGGTATGAGGGCAAGGAAAGTTTTGGGGTTTTTCCCCCAGGAAGTAAAACTTTAAAGGAAAAATAAATACGAGCAACAACAATATAGCTACATTTGTTGTTTGCTATTAAAATAATCTCATCCAGCAAATAAAATAAAATTTCCTGATGAGAACAAGAAGACCCTGTGCTAGTCAGGCAGTCTGCTTATTACAAGAAAGCAGGAAAAATAATCAGATCCTAATATAACATTGCCATTTTAAACAATAAAAAGAAATATTACTGGAAATCCCAGTGAAAAGGCAGACTGCAGGCGGATGAGAGGAGAAATCCGTCTTGACTGATTTAACGCCCTCATAAGCAAAAGTGTTGGTGCCACCATGTCTGGCTCCCTGCCTGTATAGCTGGTGATTGAATGAGATGGGCATTGATGACTGGGAGAAAGGATGGAGTCTGATATATGTACACCCTACAGTTGTCAGGCCTGAACTTGCTGCAGCAGTGGAGCTGGATACTGCCAACCTGCAGGAAGAGGAAAAATTGGGCAGGGCTTTGGAAAGAGCGCCCCCCCCCCTTTTATTGGAGTCCTTCAAGCAAGCTCTTTCCCAAATAGGACTGCAGTCCAACAGGAAATTCTTCCCACTGACAGGAATAGGAGCAGTTCTTATTCATTTTGTGTGGGGTGTGCCCTGGTTAATTTTCTAGCCTAGGATATACATGATTCATACTTTCAGAATTCCAACATTTTATCTCATGTAGCTCAATGTAGTTACTGAACTGTACTAAGCAAATGTATTGTCGAAGGCTTTCATGGCCAGAAATCACTGGGTTACTGTGAGTTTTCTGGGCTGTATGGTCATGTTTCAGAAGCATTCTCTCCTGATGTTTTGCCCACATCTATGGCAGGCATCTTAAGAGGTTCTGAGGTCTGATAACATCTTAGGATACCTGCCATAGATGTGGACAAAACATCAGGAGAGAATGCTTCTGGAACATGACCATGTTGTTGTTCATTCGTTCAGTCGTTTCTGACTCTTCATGACCTCATGGACTAGCCCATGGCAGAGCTCTCAGTTGGCCGTCACCACCCCCAGCTCCTTCAAGATCAATCCAGTCACTTCAAGGATGCCATCCATCTATCTTGCCCTTGGTCAGCCCCTCTTCTTTTTTCCTTCCATTTTCCCCACATGACCATACAGCCCAGAAAACTCACAGCAACCTACTGTACTAAAAAAGGTGTATCATTGCAAGCAGTTCTCTGCCATTTTTTTCTTTTTGGAAAAGTCTTACTTTTACCTTACCAATCCAGTGATGGTGTGTACATTGTAAAAATCCAATACATCTTGCATTGTAAAAACTGTCATGTCAACAATACTTCATTATGAAGTAACCTTGCTCCCACGCACAAATAGTCTTTTCTTATGGGATTTTGCTAAGTTAACTGTTACCTGAGGGGGACACTTGTCCGTGAAGTATGACTTCACACAGTCATGCCATTCCTTAAATACATTTGACTTCTCAGCTAGTTGTTGGGCTGTGTCAAATTCTTTATTTCATTAAGTGCTGATGAAAAATGCATTAACAATATATCAGCTCATTATTCTGTATTCCCAACAGACTGCATTCCCAAACCTGCAAGTAATCTTAAAAGCCTTGTGCATTTCCTTCTGAAGTACTCTGTGTGAGTGGCGTATAGCAGAATAAAACACTGCAATGCATGAACCTGCCATGTTTACATCCTCTCTCAATTATTTACAAATATATACCTTAAGGATGTTGTTTTATTTAATTCAGTGGTTTATACAGCATAGTTCAGGATCTCTGAATTGAATATCCATCACATTCTCTGAGACTGCGATATCCTTCCTGTTACAACTATTTCGTATTACTATTTCATTAATCACAACCCACCAGGAATCGATGTAAGCCCCATTGTCTCCACACTAGGTTCTGTTACGATTTTTATATTTAGATATTCTCTTTCCCACCATACGCAGAGGTTCTCCTCCATGCCCATTTATTTGTGTTCCTCATGCATTACCCATGACTTTTCAGTTGAGAAAAACTTATTTGCTTACAGACAGCAGTGCTCTGGCCCAGATTGTGCATCCTATGATACACAAATTCAGTATTGAATCTAGTAAGTCTAGCTCTTCCCATGCTGCCTGTTTTCAGAAATGAAACAAAAGAAGCTCCAAACTGCTATGCCATTTTTCTTCCTGAAATTAGAGATGTGTTGCTGAGTGCAATCTACTATAATTTCGTGAACATGGTGCTCTTTCCTCTCTGTGTCTTTATCTTTGTCTTAATCATGATCGTTAATTTTCTGAAGGTGTTTAATTTGCAGTTTATTCATACCATAACGGGCCATGGGCATTTGGGTGTGGTGGTGGGGAGAGATTAGTGAAAACATAGCTCTGATTAACAGTGATAGAGAGCATTTGTTCCCATCTGCTTTGCCAGTAGCTGCCTCCTCCTTCATAGGGACAGCTGATATCCCTGGTGGATTCTCAATTTCCAGTCGCCTCACTTGGAGTGATAGCTCAGGTACAAATCTGCTGCCTTAGCGAGAATACAGCACGGCAGTGTTTTCCTGATTGCCTGTGTCTCTTTACAAAAAGGATTTCAGAAGCAACAACATTGTCTTGAGTGTTCATGCCCTGTAATGTACTAGTAGCAGGTAATGTTAGGCTAAAAAACTGAACCTGACGCAAACAGGAGACACATTGTTTGCCACATTAGAAGCAAAGTAGGAGGAAATGTTGTCAAGGGGCCAAAATAGAAGAAGAAACTAGAGCTTAGAAATATAAGTGCTCAGGAGAAAGCTAAGCGTCCCCAAGGAACATTCCTCTTGTCACATCCCTCTGGTAAACCTGAAATGCAATAGCCCTATTTCTGGACAGATCAATAGGAGTAGAGTTCTCACAGCTTTTTGGCTTGCTCCAGCTTATCATATAGTGTGGACCAGGATAATAAGAATGAAATAACTTTTCATCCAAAGCAATGGGATGCATGTTGGATGCATTAGTACATTACTGGTAGATAAACCCAAATTGTAGTAGAGATCCCTAACTATCTATTGCTCTTACCCATATTAGTGAGCATGGTGAATTGAGATAGAATGGTGGTATTTGGGGTGAAAAATCGGCTAATGTGGAAATGTTTGAGCCAAAAAGCTGGGCTGGAGTCAGCTTATGCTCTGGTTTTATGTTTGAATCATGATTGTTAGCTATCTCAAACAGTTGGCGACACAAGGTATGAATTATGTAAATAAGATAAATATAGTAATTTTCAATTGTCTAAAATGTTTGTTTTTATTTGAGGTTTCACAGAGGGAAATGCTCACCACAAGGCTTTGCTGATTTCAGTCACCGTTTGCAGCATACTGCTAGTGCTTGTCATCATATTCTGTTATTTCAGGTAAGTCTGGAAAGCTGCCACCCTTGCTTTGAACTATAAAAAATAAATTAGAAAGTGAGCAGGTTAGGACTTTAAAAAAGTAATTTATATTCTAGAAAAGTTGAAGTCCCACAAATGTTAATGCAATCTTTTGAATGCAGTATGTAAAGTAAATCAGTCAATTGATCAATCCTTCTATAATTACAATAAGTAGTGAGAAAGGATCCCCGAGTTTTCACCTACCCTAATTTTGGTAGAAGGGAAATTGCTGGAGGGTGAAGAATTAACATCTACACTGGGAGACTTACTTAGGCAATCCCTCATAGCTCAAGTATGATGGTCCTCCAGGTGCAGTGTCTTGGTGTTGAGTCCATAGGTGGCTGTGGAGCCCCATTCTTGATCCACATATTCTCCTGCAGTGAGGACATTGGTTTCCAAGTGGAAGGTGGCCCCAGTCAGGGTTGGCTTGATGCACCTTCCTCTTGGCACATTCTTCCTTTCGCTCTCCATTTGTGCCACTTCGAATTCTGCAGTACTGCTGGTCACAGCTGAACTCCAGTTAAAGCGCTCAAGGGTCAGGGCTTCCCAGTTCTCTGTGTCTATGTCACAGTTTTTAAGGTTGGTTTTAAGCACACCTTTAAATCTCTTTTCCTGTCTACCAACATTACATTTCCTGTTATTGAGTTGGGAGCCAGCAGTGGTGGGTTTGAGGTGCCCCAGGCAAGTGTTTGGCTGCAGCTATCTCTACATCAGTGGTTCTCGACCTGTAAGTCCCCAGGTGTTTTGGTCTACAACTCCCAGAAATCCCAGTCAGTTTACCAGCTGTTAGGATTTCTGGGAATTGAAGGCCAAAATATTTGGGGACCCACATGTTGAGAATCACAGCTCTAAGTTGTGGCCTGAGTGTGTCGAAGCAGCTCCACAGAATGGCTTCTGGGATTCCCAAATCCAACAGTGTTCAAAAAGAGAGAAGACAAGTTTCCTTAGTTGCTATATCACTGATCTTTCCCATATAAGAGAACACATACAGGTTTGGGGGCCCAATCCTCCAGTTAAACATCAATCATCATAGTAAAATTTTGTTCATTTGTTTAGTCGCTTCCCACTCCTTGTGACCTCATGGACCAGCCCATGCCAGAGCTCCCTGTTGGCCATCACCATTCCCAGCTCCTTCAGAGTCAAGTCAGCCACTTCAAGGATACCATCCATCCATCTTGCCCTTGGTCGGCACCTTTTCCATTTTCCTTCCATTTTCCCCAGCATAATTGTCTTCCCTAAGCTTTCCTTTCTTCTCATTATGTGGCCAAAGTACTTCATCTTTGCCTCTAATATCCTTCCCTCCAATGAGCAGTCAGGCTTTATTTCCTGGAGTATGGACTGGTTGGATCTTCTCGCAGTCCAAGGCACTCTCAGAACTTTCCTCCAACACCACAGTTCAAAAGCATCTATCTTTCTTTGCTTAGCCTTCCTTATGGTCCAGCTCTCACATCCGTAGGTGACTATGAGGAATACCATTGCTTTAACTATGTGGATCTTTGTTGCCAGTGTGAAGTCTCTACTCTTCACTATTTTATCAAGATTGGTCATTGCTCTCCTCCCAAGAAGTAAGCTGCAGGCTGCAGGCTGCGTCTACAGTAATCTTTGCACCTAGAAATACAAAGTCTGTTACTGCCTCCATGTTTTCTCCTTCTATTTGCCAGTTCGCCTTCTATTTTCCTTCTATCAGCCTGGTTGCCATCATCTTGGTTTTTTTGATGTTTAACTGCAACCCAGCTTTTGCACTTTCTTCTTTCACCTTGATTAGTAGGCTCCTCAGCTCCTCCTCGCTTTCAGCCATCAAAGTGGTGTCATCTGCATATCTAAGGTTGTTAAGGTTTCTTTCAGCAATTTTAACCCCAGCCTTGCATTCATCAAGCCCCCGCACATCGCATGATGTGTTCCGCATACAAGTTGAATAGATTGGGTGAGAGTATATAACCCTGCCGTACGCCTTTCCCAATCTTGAACCAGTCTGTTGTTCCATGGTCAGTTCTTACTGTTGCTACTTGGTCCTTATACAGATTCCTCAGGAAAGCGATAAAGTGATTTGGTATGCCAAAGTAAAATACCATGCATATATCTCTGTGTGTGCAGGCATGCATGTGCTGAATTCTCTTTTCTATTGCATATCTCATTTAAAAGAATGGAACTGGGCACAAGTTCACAGAAATGCAAGTAGTAGTTTAGTTACGGGAGCTTCTGGAAATATATGAGAAACCTAAATGCTCCTGAGAATTTAACATGCGATACAAGTGGGAAATGAAACAGACCCAAGTAGTAATTATTGCCTACCGTCTTAGACCACCCAGCAGAAGAAATCACCCATGTTTATTTTCACATAAAACTGCAGGTATAAAAGGCAAGAAAGCAGACCTCCTCGCTACAGTATTGGGCTTGAACAAGACGAGACTTACATTCCTCCTGGAGAATCCTTGAAAGACCTCATTGAGCAGTCACAGAGCTCTGGAAGTGGTTCTGGGCTCCCTCTGCTGGTAAGAAATGTGTACTAAGATATCATGATCACGATAAAACATCTGTAGAATATCATATACTACAGCAGAAAACAAAACATCTGAAATCAGATGGGTGAAAGAAGTTGATCTGGAATGTGGTATTGTTAGATAAATGTCCTTTTTCTCTAAAAATGGAACAGGAAAAGAAAACCTGATCTAGTCCAGAGTAGCAATAGCCTCAGCACTTCTTTTTCACAAAAGCATTGTAGTAAGATATAGCAGACTTGGTGCCAACTGGCTTTCAGTTTGTTTCCAAGCACAATTAAAAGTGTTGCTTTTGAGCTAGAAAGCGTTGAAAGGCCCAGAAGCAAGTTGCATAATGTACTGCCAATACATTGAGATTATTCACAGAGAGACCGTTTTAAGTATTTTCCACTTTCAGAGGTTGGGAGGAGGACTACCAGAGCTTGGAAATGTTGTCTTTTGGGAGTGCAACTCCTAAACCCACTTTGACATCATGGCCAGTAGATTAGATTACTTTTTGTTATGGGTTTCAACTACCAATAGCTTTTTATTCCTTTTAGAGTTCCAAGTGAAATCATCTTCTGTATATTTTAATTAATGACAAGTATTACATTTCATCTGTTCAATACTGCTGCTTTATAAATATATCTAGCAGTGCCTACTACCTATAATCTACATATACATCCCATACAGGAATCATTAATATTGTGAGTGGAAGAGTGGGTTTGTCTTCATATGCTACTTGTTGATTTCTGATAGTCACTCTGGGAACACAATGCTGAACTAAACAGACCTGAGAGTGGGGTTCTTGTTATCTTCATAGCTGGTCTGTCAAATACTCTGCTGGCCAATTCATGCCCTTGAGCCTCCTCCTGTCTTTTAGGAGATTGTTTAATTGCAGGTAGTAGTTAACATGCCATTATCCTGTTTCCGATAGGTACAGAGGACTATAGCAAAGCAGATTCAGATGGTGAAGCAGATTGGTAAAGGTCGCTATGGAGAGGTCTGGATGGGTAAATGGCGAGGAGAAAAAGTGGCTGTCAAAGTCTTCTTTACCACTGAGGAAGCCAGTTGGTTCCGAGAGACGGAAATTTATCAAACTGTTTTGATGAGGCATGAAAATATTTTAGGTGAGTGTTCCTACCCAAAAAAATTCAAACACATCAGAAACATGAGCTTATAGACTTATCTGGTCCAGTCCTTTGCCAGTGTTGGAAATCTGTTATTGTTAACGTATTTATATCCTTCTTTTGATTCAGACAAAGTGGCTCACACCATTAAAAACAATGCAAGTTAAACTTTACAATATATAAATATTAAAATAAAATAAAACATATGAATTAGTTAAAAGATCCTTGCAATCTGGCTATCCAAACTGTGTTTTTAAACCTAGAATGAAGGCAATCCTATCATTCTCCCTTCAGTCTGCTCCATTGTCAAAGAGTCTTAGCATCTGGAAGTTCTTCTTAATGTTGAATCAGGATTTCATTTTTTATCATTTGAAGTCACTGGCTCATGCCCTGCCCTTTGGGAGTGGTGAAAACCAAGACTAGTTGTGAGTTTGGATTTAATGGTCACCACAGCAACATTTTAAAAATTTCTCATGGAAATCAGTATAGTTACAGTTCTTAGGATTATGGGCATGGTTTTCAACCTTCATTTTCATCTATTCATTTATATCTAACCCATTCCCAAAAACTCAACACAGTTTACACAAAATTAAAATAATTGCAGTGTAAAATCCCTTAAAGTAAAGGTAAAGGTTTCCCCTTGACATTAAGTCCAGTTGCATCCAACTCTGGGGGATGGTGCTCATCTCCATTTCTAAGCCAAAGAGTCAGCGTTGTCCATAGACAGGTCATGTGGCCAATATGCATGGAGTGCCATTACCTTCTCGCCAAGGCGGTACCTATTGATTTACTTATATTTTCATGTTTTCAAACTGCTAGGTTGGCAGAAGCTGGGCCTAACAATGGGAGCTCACGGTTAACCAGTCTTAATATTGTCTATGTAATGAATTACGGTAAACTCTTACTTTTGTAGCGAATTACATATTATGTCATTCAAAACTCTCATATCATCATCTGTAGGTTTTTTCCACCACATTACCTCCAATTACTGCACACCCTTCATGGGTAAATGTCAATTGCTATAGGACACCAAGTTAATGAGAAAGTGTCAGATCTTGACCTTGAAATGCATAGGAAATTGAATTTGCAGCTTCTTAAGGCAGATACATGATGTTATGAGCAGGTATGTTTTTTTCTTTCCTTGTAGGTTTTATTGCTGCAGACATTAAAGGCACAGGGTCTTGGACTCAGTTGTATCTTATCACTGACTACCATGAGAATGGATCATTGTATGACTACCTGAAGTCCACAACATTGGATACGAAAGCTATGCTTAAACTAGCATATTCCTCTGTCAGTGGATTGTGCCACTTGCACACGGAGATCTTCAGTACTCAAGGCAAGCCAGCTATTGCCCACCGGGACCTCAAAAGTAAAAACATTCTAGTGAAAAAGAATGGCACCTGTTGTATAGCAGATCTTGGTTTGGCAGTTAAATTTATTAGGTGAGTCAAATATTGGAATTCCCAGTGTAAACAGGTTTGTGAACATGGAAGGAATTGAAGGAGGGTGTGGGATTGCAGATTGGGTGTTTGGTAAGTTCTTGGTTTTAGTTTAGAACTTTTATCCACAAAAAGTGGGATTCAGCATCCTACTGACATGGAAACCATTGGTCGATTGTTGTGATAAAAAAGGAATTGAAGTTTGGTTTGACCAAACTGGAACCTAAATTAATCCAACACAAGTGGGCTGCTAATTGATGCTTCAAGTGGCAGCACACAGTTTTTGTCCAAAGAAAGGATAACTGAAGAAAGCCTTCTGCCATCTCATTTCATACAAGCAAATGCTCCTTGCTTGAACAAAGGTCCAGTTCACTATCTCCCCCACAGTTTGTCTGTATTACAGGCAGTCCTCAAGTTACAAACATCTGGCTTACTAATAACTCATAGTTACAAAATGGAGTGAGATAATACAAAGATAATCTACTCCCGAGAAGGAAAATTCATTCCTGAAAAGAGTTATTATAGGGAAAATGTGTCTCCACTGAAACTTTCACTCCAATCCTTGTTTCCATAACAAGTCAATTTTTTTCCAAACTCAATTATCACAAGGACAGAAAATCAGGTGAAATCTTCTGAAAAGGGACACAGTCAGCAAATCAAATACCATGGGGTTGTTAACCCTTCCCTATGCTACCCATTGTTTGTAACATGAGGGATGTCTGTATCCCATTCCTCTACCTCTTGCTTGGAATGACTGCAAAATGAAGTAGGCCATATATATATATATATATATATATATATATATATATAAAACTGCAAACACCAATAATGTGGCATGCAATGCTAAATATTGGTGAAATATGCTTGGTAAAATTGCTGCTTCTGCTGTGTGACAAATAGGATGTGGAAGAGGGACTATTTTCCCATAACTTTTAGGAGAAGGGGTATTGTAGGCTAAGACATGTACTGACATGGGAAACATGGAGCAAGTAGATGGCTGTGATGTTTTGATGTATTTTAACTGTGTGGTTTTAAATTCATATGTCTTTTTATTTGTATGTTTGTTTATGTGACATTGAATTGTTGTCTACTTGTAAGCCACTTCATTTTCATCTATTCATTTATATCTAACCCATTCCCAAAAACTCAACACAGTTTACACAAAATTAAAATAATTGCAGTGTAAAATCCCTTAAAGTAAAGGTAAAGGTATCCCATTGACATTAAGTCCAGTTGCGTCCAACTCTGGAGGATGGTGCTCATCTCCATTTCTAAGCCAAAGAGTCGGCATTGTCCATAGACAGGTCATGTGGCCAGTATGACTGCATGGAGTGCCATTACTTTTAGCTATATTCCTGCAAGTTCAAAATGGTCAAGTACAAAAGACATTTAAAATGTTGAATTAATGAAGGTTTCTCTGTTTTGAAAAAAAATGGTTTGGTTGTTATCTTTGACAATATTACTGAAATCTCAGTAATATTACTAACATTCCCTGCTAAGTCCTATCTTTGCTGTATATCTGCATTTTAAGATAACTAGGCCTTTAAAAAAGCATTTGATTAACAGATACAAAGCTTTTCTGTATAAGGATCATTTCCATTGTGGTTATCCATTCATCCTAAGTTCATTCATTGCTGAATTTAACTTTTGGATATCACCTTCTTTTGTACTCATCTCATTATTTTGGAGATACAGTTTCAGCCTATTCCATTTGAATAATCTCCTTTCCTCATTTTTTTAGTGATACAAATGAGGTAGACATACCACCGAACACGAGAGTAGGAACAAAACGGTACATGCCTCCTGAGGTCTTGGATGAAAGCCTGAACCGGAATCATTTCCAATCATATATCATGGCCGATATGTACAGTTTTGGACTCATCCTTTGGGAAATAGCGAGGAGATGCGTTTCTGGAGGTAAGTTTGACACATTGGTGCATGTCCCAATACCACTTCCATGCCTTTTTAAAAAAGGCATAAATCAACTAGCAATCGCCTTTAAAGAAGTAGTGATTCTAAACTTATTTATACTCATTTTCTTCAGCTGGGAGTTATTTTTCTGTTCCTGTAAGTTCTCATTTAACTGCAGTGATTTATTCTCTGTTTCCACAGTCACTTTTAAAGATGCAGTGTTTCATAATTGTAATGGGAATTTGGAGCTCATTTATGGGCACTTTCAGAGTTATAAACATTACTGCTAAAATGCAAGCACTCCTGTTGTTTATGCAGAAATGCAACCGGGTTGATTTTTCTTAGGTACCGTGATTAACAAAGAGATTACTTAGATTTAAGTGAAGAAAGACAGGCATTAACAGGTGTTAGCTAGCATTAGCAAGGCGATAGAGAAAGAACAATGCTGCTCTTGTATAAAATTAATTTATCTGAGAAGATTTGCACTTCTAAACACAGACCCTGTCTTTTTTTGTATTCCCTTCTGCCTCTCAATTTTCTCTGTCTGCTTGTTATATCAGAAATAAATGTTTGATTGTCTAAAATTCTTCTATATTTCTTCTAAACTTAAGACAGTTAAAAGAAGTTCATTGTCATTACTTTGATAGATGAGAATCATAGGATGGAGGAAGTTCAATAAGGCTTAGGCCTGAATCCAGTGTGGGTGTTAAGACTCAGTAACTGGACTTATGGAGGAAAGTATTAAATGTCATTGGGCTTGCACAAAGTAGTTTTCTCTCCTACCAATTAGATTAGGATGAGAAATTTCAAGATTGTAGGGAGGCAAATTCTTAAATGGCATGAGTATTTGCAACAAGTACTATGTCTTACTGAGAGAAGAAGAGTCGATATTGTCATTTAGTCTAGATTTTAGATATCTATTTCATTAAGAACATATATTTTGGGTCATACTTTTTCTGAAATTTCAAGGTACTTAATTTAACATAGTGATCACTGAAGTAGAGAAATGGGGTATTTTGGAATGAAAAGTAGACTACAAATCAAACAAATATGTGGCTGTAATGCTCATATTGTTGGTCCCGTATCCCAATATCTACCTTCCAAAAAGCTGTTGCGCTTCATCTTCTGTGTACATCTCTTCATTCATTTTTCTAAAGAAATCTTGCAAACTGTTTGAAACCACTTGAATCTAATTATGCCAGTAATTATACATCTGACAAATCACATCTTTTTCCAGGTATAGTTGAAGAATATCAGCTTCCCTATCATGACCTTGTTCCCAGTGACCCCTCATATGAAGACATGAGGGAAATAGTGTGTATTAAAAAGTTACGGCCTTCATTTCCAAACAGATGGAGTAGTGACGAGGTAAGAAGGGAGAGTGCTTTCAAAGCTGAACATAAGTTCACTCTCAGGTCTGCCTGGGACCAATTTTATCCAAATGTAGGTAATTAAAGAATTAGAGGACTATTCATTGTACTGAAATACTAGAGTATTTCATCTGCCACTGAAAGAGGTTCTTAGTAAACACTTTTTGAAAAGCTTCAAAATATGTGGATATAGTCTGAGTAATCTTGGAGAGATTTATGATTGAAAACAGATTTTGAAATGTTAGTAGTTTCAATCTTCCACCATAATGTAATAAAGCTAGAACAAATTAAAAACCAAACCCATGGATGAAGTCATCCATGTAAGTTAGTCTGGTATGTGCCTATGTATATATGTATGTATTTATGTGTATATGTTTAGTCTGGTATGTGCCTGTGTGTGTATGTATGTATCTATGTATCCATGTGTTTAATTAATGACTTGTATCCTGCCTTTTTAAAGTTAAATTGAATTCATAGTGGCTTACAAAACACAACTGAATGACATAAAGTTATCAAGAATTATTGGAGCCACAGTGGCACAATGGGTTAAACCCTTGTGTCGACTGAACTGCTGACCTGAAGGTTGGTGAGCTCCTGTCTGTCAGCTCCAGCTTCCCATGAGAGGGGCATGAGAGAAGCCTCCCACAGGATGGTGTCCCCTGGGCAACGTCTCTGCAGATGGCCAATTCTCTCACACCAGAAGCGACTTGCAGTTTCCCAAGTCACTTCTGACATGGTTTTAAAAAATCAAAAATTATAAGTGATATACAGTACAACCCCTTCAATAGGGTTCATATATCCATATATATATATATATATATATATATATATATATATATATATATGAAGCAGTATTAAAACATGAAATTAATGAAACATTCAGACAGCATCCTTTTAAACAGTCACTTTTCAGCCTATTACCAGAATAGTCATGAGCAGATTCTTATTTTTTTAAACAGGAATAGCATTCTACAAGAGAAAACAAATTTTAGTAACTGTTTGTTATAGCTCGCATGTACCAGGTTTCTGGATCATGGTATGAATAAGGAGTCCATTTTATTCTTGCCACAGTTGTAATATGATTCTGCCTTTCATCATTTCTATTTGTTTTGATTGGTTGTGCTTTTTAAAAAAAAAGTCATGAAAGGTCCATTTACACGAGAAGCACCCCTTAGTACTTTGCAGATGCCACATTGATGTTAGAGGGAAATATTCTACCATCAGCAATTAATCTGGTGCTTGCACTATCTTGGAAATTGCCATAATTCAAAAACTAAGTAAAGAATATCAAAATTCAAAGCGTGGTTTAAATAGATAAATTGCTATTTATAGTTATGAATGTAAGCCACATTTTAAATTAACTTTTCTATCCGCGATTGCTCAGATGGAACTCAGAGATGATCTAACTTTCCAACTGAATGTTGGATAGATTTGACTTTCACCAAAGACAGTTTCCTTGATTGGGGATGTTCAGTGGAAGTCCTCCTTGATATGCACCTATTCTTTTGCATTTGATTTTATCCTAAGAACCCGTGTATGTGTGATATAAGGATATCTATCCTCTATATTAGCATGTCATGCTTGCTTGAGGCAATGTTGTTGTTTGATCTCTTGAACAAAGTAGGCATGAGTTGTAGGATGGACTGGCTTGATCTGTAAAGTGCACAGGTTTGCTTGAGGCAGGGATGAGTCACTATGTAGAAGAAGAGAAGTAGCTGGACTAGATGTCCTTTGGATGATATTACTGTACAGAAATATTATCCTGTGATCATAAGGTAGTGTCTTCAAAAACAGATATCTGATTATATTTATTTGATTTTTTAAAACTTCGGATTCTAGTACAAATAAACCCAGGAAAACAAAATATGTGTGAAAATATTATTTTACATGACCAAATTATTGGCTATTTCCCTTTTCCAAAAAAGTGGGTGGAGTAGAGGAGAGAACAGAGTGGTCTTAAAAGCGCATGTGTGTTAGTCTTCTGTCTCATTTTCACCTTTTGTAAATTAATATAGGAAATAGATCTCCAAAGCTATACTTCTATTTTCCTTTAGGGGAGGAAGGAGGGGAGGGAGTTGTCTGAACACTTTCCTCTGAGAATTTATAATGAAGCAAAATTGTGTTTTGGAATCAGTAGACCAGTAATTGATGTATCGCAGACAAATCTGCCGACAGTTATGGTGATGCTATGCAGAGGTCATTAATCTTGTTAAGTGGTACAGTGTAATGCTATTATTGTAGGAGACAGCTGTGATTTGGGAATAGCCGTCTTAGCTTAAGTATTCTGCAATTAGATTTAAAAAGACTTAAATGGCAGGAGTTGTAAACAATCTTGAGTGTGTGTGCAGAGAGAGCCCTATGGTGGGTGGGGAGGGGTGTGTGAAAAGTTGGTATTTGAAGTATTCCATTCCAATAGTGAAAGAGTTTTCAGTGAGTTACATATTTCTTATAATTACCAAAGTTCTATCACAAAATTTATGAAGCATTGGTGAAGGGCACAGTCTTGTAGAGTAAGACCAGCAACTTTTCAGGTAGCTTGAGGCAGAAACTTTGCTGGAGAGCCAGATCCAGCTTTTCCCAACACATGTAGTTAGTGGGCTTTCCGTGGGCATCTGGTTGGCACCGGGAGAATCTTGATGCTAGAATAAGTTGGCATTTGGTCTAATCCAGTTCTTTTAGATCTATCTTGTTCAGGATCAAACTTTATTGCCCTCCAGGAGATAAATACAAATGTCAGGTTGTGTCTTGACATGCGGTTCAATCCAGAGATATGTCACATCAGCTCTGTGGTCATTATATGACACATAGAGCTGATCCAGCAATAACATGACCTTGACTCTTGTTACCTGAAGTTACTGGATATTATGGATAATTCCCCAAACCTCTGAATTGTCCAGCAGCTTCAGGGTCATCTAATCAACTGTGCAGCTTCCCATTTGGCGCATCAGGAAGATTGGGGGCGGGCGGGGGGGGGGAGGAATTCCTGCTCTCCCATCTCCTCCGTCTTTCTGGCATGTTGGATAGCCTTGTTCCAGTCACTGAGGAGAGTCCTCCTCCAATGTGGTGTCCCCTGAGCATTGCTAAAGTAAGTTGAGGGCAAGGGTGGTGGACAAGTGCTTGCGAATCAGTTCTGCCACAGCTTGTCCATGTAGCCATCAGGCAGTAGCCCATGCTGGATCAGCTTTGGGATAACCTGTACAAATGAACCCTTAGTCATAAGTAAAATAGAGCCATTGAATCAGAGGTTGGCTAAGTTACCATTTATGTAAGTACAATGCAGTTGATTCTTTAAGTCTTCTATAACTGGGATCAACACTTTTGTTTAGCTCCATATGCTTTAGACTGCAGCTCCTAGTAGACCTAGCTTCCAAGTCAAATGTGAGTTGTGCTCCAGCAACATCTGGAAAGCCACATGTTCCCCATCCATATATCACTGTATCTAAATGGGATCCCTTTTCCTGCTGTGGTTTTGCGTGCACACAGCTCTGGGAGCATCTGAGTGCAAGAAACAGATGGATGGACCAAATGATTTGAGTTACTTTCCACAACATTGGGCTTTCACTTATCATTCCTTTATTTAGGATTTGACCAAAACAGGTTTAGACGGTTTCATGTACAAGTAATTCCAGAACTAGCACATGATTCATCCATGGTAGCTCTAACTCAGCCATTTCAAGTTCTGAGTGCTTTGAAATGACTAAAATATTTTTCACTTTACAACTTGTGAGATGGACTTATATCTGCAGGAAGCAGAACTGAACAATTCATTATTCAGCAATGTGCTGCTATTACATAACTACATAAAGGAATGAGTGAACGACCGGTGTGCACTGAGACTGATGTGTATTCAGACCAATACATAACACGACACTGGGTAGGGAGTGGTTGAGCTGAATGTTCTCCAGGACACTGTTCATGCCCTCATTTGCACAGGGGTTTTGGTTTTTTTTTTTTTTTTGGCATCTCTGCTATGTAGGGAATTTGCAGCAAAACAAATGATTCAATATCAGAAAGCATATTCTGCTTTAGAATGTTCTGTGATTGAATGTACAATAAAGTAATTGTGGGGGAGGTTTCATTTTTAAATGTAAATTTAGACTTAAAACTGCATGTGTATGCTGTCCCAAAGTCCTATCTATGGGACTCTTCTTTTCCAGATCCAACCTTTGTTCAACTCCTGCATCCCTAGATTTTGTCCCATAACCAATTCTGCCCTTTAATATACCCTTCCTTTTTGTGGCACCCTCTAGAAGATATGGATTACACTTCATATCAATTCTTAGCAAGCATGGCCAGTAACAATGAATGATAGGAGGCCAGAAACCACGATGATAGGACCAAATCATCTGGAGGGTGTTGCATTGAGAAAGATTGCCATAATCAATCCTCAAGATATACATTGATTTTGTCTTCATCTCAGGTTTCCTATACTCATGAGAGATAAAGAGTGTTTTACTCAGACATTTCCAGCACAACACACCTAGATAACCTTCATGACATTCATGGAACCGCCATAAGTCAACATGCAAATTGAACCCCCCCCCCACACACACACACACAATGTGTATAGAGTTGATCATGAGTCTACCTTAATTGGTAATCTTGGTGAATATGGATGTTAAGTTTCTAAAGATCTATTTCTATAGATAACCTGTTAACTATCAAATCTGATATCTAGAGATGGTACAAGAAGGGGTACATCTTCAATGGGGCTGTTATGTGTGATCCTGAATTATATGGGATCTGTGAATGTTTAGGTACCCAAGGCCAGAATTACAAATGTAGTACAGTTTCTTAATTAAATATGTCAATTTTCTATATTCAGAATAGCTTTCCAGTGTCGAGCTTGCAGTGAGCAATCGATCTTGTTTGTATGAATGTTCTTGTGCAATATAAATCTGTATGTGTGTGTATACGTATTTACATACTTCTATATGTGTCTTCTCTTCTGCAGTGCTTAAGACAAATGGGCAAACTAATGACAGAATGCTGGGCTCACAACCCTGCGTCCCGGCTCACAGCCCTGCGAGTAAAGAAAACGCTTGCCAAAATGTCAGAGTCACAGGACATTAAGCTCTGATTCGGCCGATGAAAGCTTCCTCTTTGCTGAAGTTCAGAAAAATGGACTTTTCTTCATGTTTCAAAGAGACGAGAAGAAGAACTTGCAAAGTGTTTGCTAATATAAACCTTGAATGCAGACATTTGGCACACACTGACACAGAAACCTTTCCAGGAGAAAGAAATGTGGCCCCAGCAAGATTTGGTACCTTAACGACCCAAAAGAAAAACCCTTTTGCCTCTTTTGGGAGTGACCAGAGAAACAGTGTTGACAGCTGCTTCAAGATTATGCATGCTGCTTTCTATGAAAGCCATTATTAATATTATTGTTGTTATTGTTATTTGGATGGTTTAATTTTGATGAAAATGAACCTTTGCAAATATAAAGTACAAGAAAAATAATTATATTGTTATACTAATAAAAGGAAGTTCACCAAAATTCTAAAGAAAAGTTGCTATTCTTTCCTATCAGTAAAAAAAGGCTGTTGTGCTCCATGACAACCCCAAAACCACCACATTGAGAAATAGAATGTGTCTTACAAGTGATGTTCCGTGCACATCTGAATGTTGACATACCATGCAAGAGAGATCTGTTAGAAAGGTGGTACCATAATGACATCACCTGAATTGCTGCTAAGCAGTGCCTTGCACACATAAGATGCTATTTTCTTGTAGTTTCTTCTACATAAGACTTTCACATTGCAAGTTAGGAAAATTCTACCAAGGGCATTAAGAGAAAACTTTTGGGGAAAACTTTTCAAAAATAGCAACAGATAGGTCCTGTTCTGGAGGTCTGGGAAGATGGAGGGAGGTTATCAAAGCGGGAAGGTAGTCAACTGGTAGCACACCTGATATTAGTTGTTGGTCTTTGAATTGGAAGCAGAGCTTTATCTGTGTTCTGCTTGCTAGCTACTACACAGTGTGGCAAAACCACTGCATAAGAAGGTACTGGATACCTGCTTATGTAATATCGGAAAAAAGTACTTATGGCATTACAATACTGCTATTCCATTGTATCAGTATTCAGGAAGATTTCAACTACTGTTTGTGCAGAATTGGGGTAAATAGAAACAATATGGAAACTGTACATTGAGATGTGCTTTTGCAAGGGGGTGTCGTTGGAGAATTGTGCCTTCAGGAATAGTTTGATTTTTTGGAATTACCACACAATCTTATTTTGAAGCAAATGTGAATTATTCTTTAGGAGCCTTTCATTTTATTGGTGAAGTAACTGGTAAAGAAAGCTGCTCCCAGAGGTGCATTAAACCCCTTTTTGCCTTGAGTTAAGACCATAAATAGTGCTGACAAAAGAAAGAGTTTTGTTTAAGGTGTATATCAGAAAGTGGGACTTTAGAACTGCAGTCTGTTTTTCAACACATGAAGCAAAGTTTGCTCTGAAAGGAACAATGCATTCAAGAGAAAAATATTCTATTCTGAGAAAAAGTCTTTATATGGTAATATTTGGCTGGAAGTTTTTTCCTGATTTTGGCCAAATTCCCAAAAGAACCATTGTGAAAAAACAAAGGCACAGATATATATTTAAGACTTCTCTCTCTCTCTCTCACCACTTCTCACTATGGCAGAGAATATCTTGTCCATCTGTCTTTATTCACCATACTCGCCTGGGTTGGTGAGCTCTTGTTCAATACCATATGAAGGACCCTCACATTGCCTGCTTGTACAAAACCTTGATTTGATGTCTTCCATCCTCTGTATTGTTGGTCTAGACACACAATCTCATGCATTTTAGATAAAAAATTGCACCAGAGAACTATATGGTATGAAACCTGCACTAGGACGTCTGAAGCTTCAATGACGCCTCTGTCCTCAAACAGAGGTAGCCATCTTTTCATAATGGCTTTTAGTGCAGTATTCTGAGCAGATTTGTAGTAGGCAAAATTTAATATGCACTGAGAAAGGCACACAAGCTATTTGAACCCTAACATTTTTCTTATACTCTTTCACTTTTTTGTAATGCAGTCTTCTAAAAAAAGGTCTTAAAGTGATATTTGGACCTCTAGGGGGCACAGTAGAGCTTTGAATTTCAAGAGCAGTGGGCTCAGCTGGTCAAACACAAACTCTTCACTAACCTAGGATGGATTTTAGAAGTATAATGATTGGACTGCCTTCATCTTTGCAAGTTTAGTAAATATGAGGTTTAACATGCTGTGGAAAGAGCATGGTGCTTAAAGTTGAATATTTTAGTTAAAATACTTGGCATGGAGCAAATCTAATCTGTGGTTGGAAGCCGTTTTGGATGCTGTGCATCAGAGAAAAGTGTTATTACATGTCTGGGTGTATTGAGATGCATAAACCTTAATACATAGATACATAGGTTATGGGCATACACATTCAGATGGTAATTCTAATAATATGAACAATCATCAGTTGCTGATCCCTCAATCCTGTGGAGAGCCAGCTAGAAAAAAACAATCCCGCTTCTTCCAACAGCCTTACAATTTAAATAGGTTTGCTGCTGCATTCAGTTAAGCATGGATGATTTTCATTGATTTAGAGTAATTTATAGGCTATTCTGAAAGCTATTTGACATCTAAAGCTAGTAGTTGCTTCTACATAAACATTGCTGTTCCAAAGGAGTCAGTCATGCACAAATCCAGTTTCTTCATAAGTTGCACTCATCTGGGTGCCTTGTGTCTTGGCAGCTAGAACCATAAATTACTCATGCCATGACTACTGATTAGCTAATAGAGGTTAAGATTAAAGGCCCTAAAGAGTTTCTAACATTGCAGGGACCAAGAGGGGAAAACTTGTTTAGGCTTTGACTATATAAATAATGGCTGTTCTTTCCTGGGCGACTTTATTTCAAATGGTTTTTAAGTTAAATTAATACAAGAGAGCTGATCAAATAAATGACTGGCTGCTCTGCGGTGAATTTCTTAAAATATTCCTGACTGTTCAGTCATGACCTGCTTGCAAGCAAATGGATGTACTTTCACACTGCCATGGCTCTTTCACCAGCTATGGAATTTTTTGTGTATTAGTTGAGCATTTTCTTCTGCCTGCTGGTGGCTTTTCTCACTTTTTGAGAGTTCTTTGAAGTCAAGTTTGTGATAAATGTGATTTGTTCCTCTAAGGGAAAGCTGACATTTTAACTCTGTACGGTATTCATTCACAGTTAAATCATATGCCCCCAACATTTTGTTTAAAAAATTGCAGTTAGGTGGACTCTTTATGCAGTTTGTACTGAAGTGTTTAACAAGCTTCCAGTGGCCTACTGAACATGTAATGAATGAGAAGGTACATACAACTAGCATTATCCCCTTCCGCTGCCAGTTCCACTGGCTTCTCAGTGTGGAGGGAGCCATTGGGTCCTTTCACATCACATAATAGTACCACTGAATGCTACTTTAATTGCTATCACTACATTCAATAGGATACTGGAATTTATAGTTTATCAAGAGTAGAGAGACTCCTCAGATTACAAATCCCAGAAATCCATAGGAAGTTGCCATAGCAATTAAAGTACTCTATATCACTAAAACTGTGATGTAAAAGGGAAATTTCCTCTAGAAATCAACAGAAACGGCAGTGTAGGAGGAGGGCAGGATTTGCTTGAATGTTGAATGCCTGAATAATGCCTGAATAAACTTAGGAATTGTGTGTTCAGAGCATACTCATCATATAAAGAGATAGAGCCATTATGCTTAAACAGAATGAAAACAGTATTCTTGACTTTCCAAATTCATAGGTAATCTGCAGGTGCTTCTTATATGATTGTTTACAAACAAACAAACAAACAAAAATAGATGCCAGTTGTCAAAAGGCCTTGTACTTGAATTTGTTTCAATATTCAGATATGTTTTTTAAAGACCACTTGAGAATCAGAACAACTCTATTTTGTGTTGTCAAAGGCTTTCACGGCTGGAATCATTGGGTTCTGTGAGTTTTCCAGGCTGTATGCCCATGCTCCAGAAGCATTCTCTCCTATCGTTTTGCCCATATCTATAGCTGGCATCCTCAGAGGTTGTAAAGTCTGTTGAAAACTAGGCAAGTGGGGTTTATATATCTGTGGAATGTCCAGGGTCAGACATCCTACAGTCTCCCACTCTGAATATTCCACAGATATAGAAACGTCACTTGCCTAGTTTCCAACAGACCTCACAACCTCTGAGGATGCCTACCATAGATGTGGGCAAAACTTCAGGAGGAAATGCTTCTGGAACATGGCCATAGAGCCCAGAAAACTCACAACAACCCAACTCTATTTTGTTTATATTACAAGTTTACTAGATGAAGAATTCATTTCTAGAAAATACATGCAGTTTGTCAGTCAGAGTGTGATGTGGGAAAGACTAGTATTGGAATGAATAAGTCATAATAATTTTGTTTGCTCCAAGACTTAATAGAACCTTCCTCATTTCCATTGTTAATTCCATTGGACTCAGCAGATACAAAATGATACAAAACCAATACTTACCAAAGTCACAAATTGTTTTTTAGTACTAATATTTGATTTTACCACATACATGGAATTGTTCTGTTCCATTTGTGAATTTTGTTATCAGACACAGAGATGAACCATTGAAAATGATGTTCATTATGTTAGGAATAATGGGATTTGACATAATTTTTAAGCCAAGCTTTTCAGGGAAAGATAGATGAAAATGTTTGGTGAATGAGACTATCTGAATGGCAGTTTTACTGGGAAGAAACCAAGTTCAAGGAGAACAACTATTAGTAGACTATTTCTTTTGAAGAAAAGTTGACCAGGTAATTTAAAAAATAATACCGATTTGTGTTCTTTTTTTAGAACCAGTGCCTTAATTCAGTCTGTAAATATTGTAAGTGTTGAAACTTGGGAACAAACTTGTGTTTGTAATTGTTCAAAAATGGTTTATGTCTGTTTTAACATTCCCCAAATAAAATATTTTCAGTTTCCCCATTAGAAGACAGCCTGCCTTCTTTGAAATTTCCAACAAGATTGAGTACTCACAGATGTGTTGATTGTTTCTGATTCACATTTCTTCTTAGACCTTTCTCCATTTGGCTGCAGGCACTAGACAGCTGTGAAAATCTTCTCAAGTAAGTGTCAACCAATATTGGAGGTAAGAAGGTGGCCATCATTTTCAAGACTGCCACAGGACCCACAGGTTGAGAACCATTGCTCTAGTGGAAGTTCCCATCAGGTGAACCTGCACAAGTATTTTAAGTGTTTCCAAATCTGCTGTATCTCTGATGATATGAGATGTAAGGTATCTCTCAATTTTAATGGGTTGCAAAATGTTCCAGTGTGGATGGGACATAGCTATGATGCATACACATGAAACTTCTGCCCCTCTCTCACCCCAAAACTCATTTTTTCTCAGGTGCAGCCTTCCAAACCTGCAAGAGGAGTGAGCAAGTGTCCAGCAATCTTTCTGTATCTAGACTGCCCAGGAACAGGCATCCCTGGTTCCTTCAGACATCTTCTGAAGGCCCCTGTGAATGATGTCATTGCTCTGCATTCAGTTATAGAAAAACAGACAAGATACTTGTCTGCTTCTCCCATCCCATCTTTAATGATCAGGAATTATCCAGTTTCGAGGGTTGCAGCTAAGAAAAAAATAGGGGAAAATTTCCAGGTACTGTGTAGCCAGTAGAGAATTCCAATCTGTACAGTGACCAAATTATGCCATTAAAAATCATCAACAGGACACCTTCCAAGGTGTGGTTATTCAATTTGCTTCTAATGTTCATTGTTAAAACGGATAACATTTAGACCCATTTGGGAAGACTTAGACTGACACTTGAATGTCAAATGATATAAAAAAATGCCAAGGCTAATACTACTATGGGGTCACAACACTAAAGTTTTATGTATTTGATTTCAAAACGATACTTTAAATGTGCATTTTAATTTATTATAGTGTCCCAAATGCCTCTTCTGATTTTTATTCACCAATGAACATTTCAATTTTACTGCCACTTGTAGAGGAAGAGCTGTAGAAAGACAACATCTGGTTGTTGGCCCTACTGTGGTGGATGGAATAGGACTCAGTAGATGAAACGTTCAGACCTGGATGAGGGTGAACAAATTGAAACTGAATCCAGATAAGACTGGCGTACAATTGGCCTCGCGTAAGACGAAACTGGGAATAGGGTTGCAACTGGAGCTGGACCGGGTCACATTCCCCCTTAAAACTAAGGTTTGCAATTTGGGGGTGATTCTG